ATAGGATGCTATTATATATATGTCAGCATGCTGGAAGAAGCAAAGACCACCAGCATTGAAGTGATGGTCCTCCCCCATCAACTCCGCTGGACTGGCAACATTGTCTGAATGCCTGATCACCATCTCCCAAAGCGGTTGCTCTTCTCCGAACTCAAGAACAGGAAACAGAATGTTGGTAGGCGGGAAAAGAGATTTAAAGGTGGGTTCAAATCCAGCCTTAAAAACTGTGGCATAGACACTGAGAACTGGGAAGCCCTGGCCCTTGACCATTCTAGCTGGAGATCAGCTGTGGCCAGCAGTGCTGTTGAATTTGAAGAGGCACAAATGGAGGCCAAAAGAGTGAAACGTGCAAAGAGGAAGGCATGTCAAGCCAACCCCGATTGGGACCGCCTTCCACCTGGAAACTGATGCCCTCACTGCGGAAGAACATGCAGATCAAGAATAGGGTTCGTCACCTACATACCCACCGCCAGGACACCGAACTTGGAGGACAATCTTACTTGGACAACGAGGGATCGCCGAAGATTATATATTTCCTTAAATAACTTTGCAAAAAGAAAAACAAAGGTAGATTTAATCCTCTAGGTTGACTAGCACACCAGAGGGAGGAAAAACAACTGGAGGCCTTGCCATACTCGTATCCACTTTGATCAAAATAAACACCCAAGTGGCTCTCACCAATACGTATATGCACATACTGCTCAAGGTGCTAATGCAGAAGGCTTTAAATAACTAAAGTGATAACTGACAGCGGTGGGTGGGAGATGCTAGTTTAAGTCAGTGCGAATTTCTGAAATAAAACACATCGTTCTGGGTCCCTTGTTTCTTAGCCCCCCAAAGCAACAAATGTCTATACCAAATTAGTGTATATATTTTTATGCCTTCAAGTCATCAACCAATGGGAACCTCATGAAATTCAAAAGGCAGGCCTACACAACTTGGCCCTTGTGAAGGGCCTCTCTCTCTATATATTTCCCATGGAAATCCCAGGTTGTTTGCAATTGCCTTTCTCTGAAAAACAGCCTACATCTTGTTGGAAATAGCAACCTTCTAAGTCTTCACTATTTGTTTGTTAATGTGCATATTTGCTAACCTATATTGTGTGTGTGTGTGTGTGTGTATTCTTCAGAATTCAGAAGATCTACAAGCCACTCTAAATACCTTCGCAGAAGCTTACGAGAAGCTCGGCCTGCCATTGAACATCGAGAAAACCAAAGTGCTGTTCCAGCAGACACCAGCCAATCCCTCTCCAATGCCAGCGATACAGCTTAATGGTGGAACATTGGAAAATGTTGATCATTTACGCTACCTTGGCAGCAACCTCTCTACCAAAGTCAACATCGACACCGAAATACAACACCGCCTGAGCTCTGCGAGTGCAGCATTTTTCCGAATGAAGCAGAGTGTTTGAGGACCAGGACATCTGTAGGGATACCAAGGTGCTTGTCTATAAAGCTATTGTCCTCCCAACCCTGCTATATGCCTGCAAAACGTGGACTGTCTACAGAGTCACATACAACTCCTGGAATGATTCCATCAGTGCTGCCTCTGGAAAATCCTGCAAATCCTGGGAAGACAAGCGGACAAATGTCAGCGTGCTGGAAGAAGCAAAGACCACCAGCATTGAAGCAATGGTCCTCCGCCATCAACTCCGCTGGACCAGCCACGTTGTCCGGATGCCCGACCACTGTCTCCCAAAGCAGTTTCTCTACTCCGAACTCAAGAACGGAAAGTTGGTGGATAAGATATTTAAAGATGGGCTCAAAGCCAACCTTAAAAACTCTGGCATAGACACTGAGAACTGGGAAGCCCTGGCCCTTGAGCACTCCAGCTGGAGGTCAGCTGCAACCAGCAGTGCTGCAGAATTTGAAGAGGCACGAATGGAGGGTGAAAGAGAGAAACGTGCCAAGAGGGAGGCACGTCAAGCCAACCCCGACCGAGACCGTCTTCTGCCTGGAAACCAGTGCCCTCACTGCGGAAGAAGATACAGATCAAGAATAGTCACCTATGAACCCACCGCCAGGATACTGAACTTAGAGGACCATCATCCTTGAACTACAAGGGATTGCCTAAATAAGTAAGTATTCTCCAGTTTGACTGTACCTCTTTGGTGTGGGAGAGGCTAGAAACGTGTAATTGTACTGAGCATATTCAGACTCAAAACTCCATCTTGTTATCAGTATGCTTTGGACTTCAATGTTGGCAGTTTGCTTTAGACCTCAGCGGAAGTGGATGCGGTATGCTTTTGGTCTTTAATGGAAGTACATGTCATTTGGACTTATGCAGGAACACTTTACTATATGTTTGCATTAAGAAATAGTATAATTATACAGTTTGGACTGTCATAAGATGTATTCTTAAAGACTTTGGACTATTAAGAATGAAGCCCTGAATTGATCCCAGTATTGGTATCTATGGCTTGGGCTTCTATGTGGTTCTGGGCAGGCCCGGTTTCAGCATTCCTGACAAGAAGCGCCAAACTGGGAGTATTGGGGCCAAGCACAGAATCAGCAAAGAGGAAGCTATGCGGTGGTTTCAGCAGAAGTATGATGGCATCATCCTTCCTGGTAAATAAATGGTTTCCTCTATTCAAAAAGAGCCAATAAACTTTCCACTGTTAAAAAAATGAAAAAAAGAATGAAGCCCTGTGTTCTCAACAGAGAAACTACGGTACATCCAATCTATAAATGTGCCTGTATGCTGAATTAATAGGGCTGGGCGGTTTCGTTCGTTAATTTCGTAATTAGTTATTCATTCGTATTTAAATTAGCGTACGATCCAATATTGAGCCATGCAGGAGCAACTAAAAATTGAAACGAATTTTTCAATTTATTTCGTAATTGGTTCGAAATCGTTTCGAAATTGTTTCATTATTATTTCCGTATGTCTGGTGCAAGTTTTAGGGTTGTTGTTTGTTTTATCAGTGATAAAAAATAAATTATCACACCAACAGTCAACAACAGAGGGAGAGGGAAGCTTCAGAAGTTCCCCCTGTCCCATTTGGAGGGTTTTTTCTTGCATATTGCGCAATCGCGTCCGCCATTAACGAATCGATTCGTAATTGTTTCGTAATTTATGAAATTTCGTATATTTCGAACTTTTTTAAAGAAAAATTTCGAAATTCTTTTAAAAAACAAAACGCAAAAACCCCCTAAAAACAAATCGAGTTTAGAAACAAATTTTTCCGTGGTTACCCAGCCCTATGAATTAATACAAGATGTTCATGAGTAAACAAGATATGCTACTTTTTAAAGAAGACTTTGATTTTTTATCTCTGAGTGCATAATTTAAACTAAAAAGTTCCAAGGGAGAGCATGTTTTGGGCAACTTCAGCTTCAAAGAAACATTTTTAGTGAAGTTTATGTTTTGTGTGCAGTGGCATGTCTTTGTCACTGTCCCAGTTCAAAGACATGGTTTATCAGTTTAACAGCTGAGTTACCTGTGTGTCATTACATGAATGCTTGTGAACATCACTTTTTCAAAGGGTTGACTTCTAACAAGGTCATGCCATTCCTTGACTAGTGGTTTTCAAAAGGTGATCTCCAGATGTTCATGGACATTCACATTTGCCAAAAGACATGACATAATTTTTCCTTTTCAAAAAGGTTGAGTGCCATTTTTCTGAAACACCTTGACATGTAAACATGTAGAAATTTACATGGTTAATTATAGTGATGCCGCCATTCCTGCTTCTTGGCAGGGGGTTGGACTGGATGGTCCATGAGGTCTCTTCCAACTCTTTGATTCTATGATTCCATATCCAGCAATTAAGCTTGTAAATTGTTTTCAAAACTTCAGAAAATCAAACCTTGGCTTTGCTGCATGCTGAGGACTATGCTGATGTGTAGGCATACCCTGCTATAGCATCTCATGTAAGTTCACAGGCCCGCCCATTCATTATAGTGCCTGTGCATATTTTTGTTATTTTCCATACTGTTATGTATTCAAGTGTTTTATTTAACTATGATATTGTTTATTGTTTGCGCTTTTGGTTTGTGTTTTTGGTTTTATTTTTATTGTCATTTGGGCTTGGCCTCATGTAAGCCGCTCCGAGTCCCCATTGGGGAGATGGTGGCAGGGTAACAAATAAAGATTATTATTTATTATTATTATTCTATCTGATACTTGTTTGTGTTGTATACCATTTTATTACACCATTGTATAGGGAGGGTCAAAAGTCAAAAGATTTTTTTGTGATACATTAAAGGTTCTGTTAAGCTATTGATGGAGCGGTGCAAGAGTAAACTATATGGCTTCAATATAACCTGGGGTGGACATTGGTGGCATTTCAGAAGTTTCACTACAGCTCCCATCAATGCTAGTCGCACTGCCAATGAAGGATAATGGTAATAGCAATCGAAAACATTTTTGAGGCTTCCTTGTTGTCCACTCCTTGTCTATGTAAAAGAGTTCTCTGTACAATGTTATTGTTAAGTTTTCTGGACTGTTCGGAGGTTGTAATGAAGAACAGTTTCTGTCTGCTCTCAAAAAGAAGTCTCGCCAGACAGCTAAACAGAGTCAAATATTGGAAACCTTGCAGTTAAGACTTATGCCACTTGAAATAAAGAATAAAAACTGAGGGTGCATCTACACCAAGCATGGGCAAACTTGGTCCCTCCTCCAGGTTTTGGACTTCAAGTCCAAAACATCTGGAGGGCCCAAGTTTGCCCAGGCCTGATCTACACTGTAGAATGAAGGGAGTTTGGCACTTTATCTTCCCTGGCTCCAGTCTGGGAGTTGCCATTTGCATGGTCTTTAGCCCTCACCATCAAAGAATACTGTTGCACCATCAAAACTACAAATCCCAGGATTCCATAGCATTGAGCGGTAGCATTCACTCCACAAGGTAGATAAGGCCTGGGCAAACTTGGGCCCTCCGAGTGTTTTGGACTACAACTCCCACAATTCCTAACAGCGTAGTCCAAAACACCCGGAGGGCCCAAGTTTGCCCAGGCGTGGTTTAGATGCACCAGTTAGGATGTTAGGTGTAGATAGGAATCGTGGGAGTTGTAGTTCAAAACAGCTGGAGGATTGAAGTTTGCCCAGGCTTGGGATAGATGCACCCAGAGCTATATACTACAAGAGTGTCATTCGAAATAATGGAAGATGCACAAGGCCCCATCCTCACTGTCATATCATGCAGTTCTACTGCATTATGAAACTATTATTATATAGTAGTGTCCTAGTTCTAGGTTTCCATAACCAATTGGGAGTGATCTCTTCCGGGCTTCTCCTCCACGCCAGTCTTCTCCAAATCTAGTAAGAGGTCTGTCCAAACGCTCAGCCCCTGAACTTCGAAGCCCCCATCTTGGCCTTTGAGCTTCCTTAAGTGGTCCCGAACAGCGCTGGCGAGGGGCTCCGATTCCCAGGAGAGGAGGCGGATGCGCTCCCTTAATTCATCCCACGTGACTTCTGGGCCGCCGCCTCCTCTGCTGCTGCTGCTCCATTCCCCGCGGAGGGGGTCGTAGGCGAGGCGTCCTCCCCTGGAGGCCAAGAGGCTGAAGTAAGGGCCGAGCAATGGCGGATGGCGGGCGCAAAGCGAGGCCAGGCGAGAGCCCGGCAAGAGGCGGCAGAAGGCCTCCAGGCGAGCCCCGCCTCCCCGCTGGAGCAGCCAAGGGAGCAGCGCCTCCCGGGCTTGGCTTTCCCCGCCGGGCTCCAGCAGGGCCGCGGCCACGGCCTTGTACAGCGTGGGGCCGCAGGGCAGCCTTTCCAGGAAGGCGAGGCCGCTTCCCTCCTCCTCCCTCAGGCGCGATAAGAGCAGCTGGGCCCTGGCCCTGTCTGCTGAGCCTTCGTGGGCGGGGAGGAGCTGCGTGGCGGCCTTGCGCCGGGCCGAGACGGGCAGGAGCAGCTCCTCGGCCCCGCCGGAAGGGAGCAAGAGGCTGCGCAAGAGGCGCTCGCGGGAGGGGGCGGGGAGCGCCCGGTTCTCCAGCAGCGCCAAGCAGAGCAGCGCCGGGCCGCGGCCCAAGAGGCCTAGCCCTCCTTGCAGGCCCCGCCGCCTTTGGCCTCGTTCCGCGGCCTCCCGGAAGGCGCGGGTCCAGCCCAGCGCTCGCCTCACGGTCGCCGGGTCCCAGTTCCGCACCGCCGGCGAACGAGAGGCCTCCAAAAGGCCCGGCAGCCGCTCGGCCTGTGAGAGGAGCGCCTCCATCCCTCTCCCCTTGGCGCCAGGCGTTTGAGCCAACGGGAAGCCCGCCTCTTTGGCTACTCGTTGAACCAATCAGAATGGTCCTTGCCTTTGCGCTGCTATTGGACGGTGGAAATGTCACTCAAATGGCACACCGGCCTCAGTCAGAATGCAGAACATCCCATCCCGGACCGCTGGGACTCTGTATCCATGGATTCCGCCGTCAGCGGATTGAAAATATTCCCACCAAAATCCCAAAAGCAAAGGTTAATCTTGCCATTTTATATAAAGGACACCGTTTTGTTTTCATAGAATCATAGAGTTGGAAGAGGCCTCGTGGGCCATCCAGTCCAACCCCTGCCAAGAAGCAGGAACATTGCATTCGAAGCACCCCCGACAGATGGCCATCCAGCCTCTGTTTAAAAGCTTCCAAAGAAGGAGCCTCCAGCACACACATTGTAGCTTGTCAATATTTCTCTTCAATTGTGGTGCCCAGAATTGGACACGGTATTCCAGGTGTGTTCTAACCAAGGCAGAATAGAGGGATGGCATGACTTCCCTGGATCTAGACACTGTATACTCCTATTGATGCAGGACAAAATCCCATTGGCTTTTTTTACTGCTGCATCACATTGTGGCTCATGTTTAACTTGTTGTCCACGAGGACTCTTTTGCTATTGTATCTTTTTGCCATTGTTTATACCAGGCATGGGGAAACTTCGGCCCTCCAGGTGTTTTAGTCTTCAACTCCCACAATTCCTAACAGCTGAAGTCCAAGACACCTGGAGGGCCGAAGTTTGCCCATGCCTGTAATATAAGCAGGTGTCTAGGTTTCCTTGAACTCTTTTCCTCACAACCTCTGAGGATGCCTGCCATAGATGTGGGTGAAATGTCATGAGAAAATGCTTCTGGAACACGGCCATACAGCCTGGAAAGCTCACTGCAACCCAGAACTCTTTTTACTAGTTTAATCTCCCTCTCTCTGGATTTGCAGAGCCTATTAGATGTTCTTTGAAAGAGAAGGAGAACTTGATCTTTGCTGGTTTGTCTTGGGCCCCTTCCACACAACTGAATGAACTCCCACATCTGCTTTGAAGTGGAATATATGGCAGTGTGGACTCAGATAACCCAGCTCAAAGCAGATATTGTGGGATTTTCTTCCTTGATATTTTGGATTATAGGGCTGTGTGGAAAGGCCCTGGGTCAGAACACCATGTTTATATCACCCCTGTTTCCTGATACTGCAATAGAACAACACATGACAACCAGGAGGCCCAGTGTGAGGGAGAAGGCTGTTGGCTATGAGCTCATCTACACTGCCATATATATAAAATGCAGTTTCAGAATGAAGAAGAACTGCGTTGAACCGGATTATATGAGTCTACACTGCCATCAAATCCAGTTCAATGCAATTAATCTGCATTATATGGCAGTGTAAATGGGGCCTTTCTGTGACTCCCTTTAAAAAAATTGCATTCAGTTTGGAGTAGCTCTTGAACTACGGACCCACAATTTCATCACTGTTCATTAACAAAATACCACGTTAGTTATGTGGTGGCTGGGGTCCTGGGGAAGGGTACCTTCATGACAAGGCCAGAAAACAACTGAATTTCCAAGGATGTCTGTGTTTCCTTGGGGTCAGGGGACATATGTTAGTGGAAGTAGAGCCCAAAATAGGCAAGGTCATCCTTTTCCTCACTGTCCATTCCTTTTCTCTCCCCTAATTTGTCACCCAATAGATTGCAAAGGAGCACATCATTCTTGCCAAAGCTCTGAGCTGCTGACTTGGAAACACAAGGCCGAATCATCTGTGCAAGCATAACGCAGATTCAGTTCTCTAATCCTACATCACAATCCTTTATCTCTGGTCTGCAATTGCATTAAATAAAAGAAGGTTGGATTTTATTCAGAAATTACTGGCACCAATTTTACAATTCTGGAAAAGTAGCCTTTTCTACTTCTGGATACTCAGAATCCTGAAATTTCACTACTTTGTAATTTTGGTTAATAATAAAGAGATAGTCTTTCCAATTTCTCACGTTTAAAAAGGTTGATCACTAGACAAATTAATTTTAAAACTTTATTTCTCTTGCCTCCAGCTCACACAGTTCTATTTCTCTCGCATGGTCACATTCAGTAATCATTGTTTCTCTAACTATTCTCCTCCAGGTGCTTTGGACTTCAGCTCCGAGAAATCCCAATCAATTTACCAGCTGTTAGGATATTGTGTGAGCTGAAGTCCAAATCATTTGGAGGAGCACAGTTTGAGAACCACTGGTAGATTGCTTTGTGGTTAACAATTGTGCATGTGCCTTCAAGTCAACTCATGGTGATCTCATAAGGTTTCCTAAGGCAAAACACACTCAGACATTGTTTTACCAGTTCTGACCTCTGAAATATAGCCTACAGCACCTGGTATTCCTTGGCAGACTCCCCTCCAAGTCCTAAGCAAGGCTGACCCTGCTTAGCTTCCAAGATCAGATGGGATGCCTTAGGGTTTTAGGCTGCCTGGTTATTGGTCCATTATAGAGCACCTGTGGTTTTTATGAATTCTGGTTTGCTGAAACTCCTTTCAGCTCCTGTCAGAATCACTGGCAGTGTGCATAGAAACTATGTAGCTATACGTATTTCACTGAAAAATAGTTGAAGGATTTTCATAAATATATACAGTATCTTCTCATTAAATAATATTAAGGGGACTGATTTTTTTTGTTTTCAAAAACTAGATGTTTTCTTTATCAGAACAATCTTTGGGATAACTGTGAAACTGACTTTCAGAAGCTTATCCTAATCCAAGTTCTTGTGGTTTTGATTGTGTGTGTGTGTGTGTCTGTGGAATAATGCAGTGATAGGCTACAATCTATTTAAATGTATTTAAAAAGTGAATTAGTGTTCCCATGACCCTTTCATATTTCACAATTGTAGTGATATTATTTCACTTTAACTATCATGGGAACATCCCATTGAATCTTGGGATTTGCAGTTTAGGTAGGGGTGTTTCGAACTCTCAGACAGCTCCATCTAGTGCTGTGGTCTTTCAGATGCTTTGGACTTGAGTTCTCAGTTCTTGAGATCCCAGTTGAGTTCTTCATTATTTGCCCAAACTAGCTGGGAATTCTGGGAGTTGAAATTCAGCTAGAGGAGCAAAGTTTGGGAACCACTGATGTCTAGCACTCATCATTGCATCATGAAGCTATAAGAAACGGGATTCCACAGCATGCAGCTATGACAGTGAAAATGTAATCATAATGTTATAGTGGAATAATATAAAAGGGCCCTAGAGGTTTTCAGAGAAGTCAGTTTAGAAAGGACAATTTGGAGTAGTAAAGTTCTGCAAAAAAACAAAACAAAACAAAGTGTGGAGCTCTAAACAACCTCAAGGCCACATATTGCCCACATATTAGAGGACTGACTGGAGTATTAACCACATATTATTGATTGTGCTTTGAATCTGTGCTGTAAGGCAGACACAACATGGACCAAAAATTGTATCAAAATTGACCAGGACTGCATTCCCAGTATGCAGTGATTCCATGCAATGGCATCCTGGTTTTTGTAGTTTAGTGAGGTACCAAAGCACTTAGGCTAAGCCTTAATAATATTCATCCCTAAATTGCAAATCCCAGGATTCAATGGGATGGTCTCATAGAATATAGTGTCATGACTGTGTCCTATGAGAGAACTAAAGCATTGAAATGTTCCCTCAGCCTACATTTGGACTTCAAGCTTGGAAGCAACCACTTCAGTTAACAGTTGTTAACTGTTTTTACACTGTAGCATTTAATTTTTGCTGTTCTTATTTGTTGTGAACCGCTGTGAGTCGCCTTCGGGCTGAGAACAGCGGTATATAAGTAAATAAATAAATAAATAAATTCACTGACATTTGTTTTTCCATTTAATTTAGATTTAGTCTTTTCTCAATTAAATGCAACAGTGAAAAAATAATCACATTACATCATTAAATTAAAACTGGTAATTGAAACATAGTACTAAGGATACAAGTAAAACATCTCCAAAAGATGGTGTTAGGGTGGATGTCATTGATATGATCTTGGAATACCCATTTGAATGTTTCCTTGTAGGCTCCAGCTCTAGCTGTCATCACTGATGGGGGGCATTCACCTGGCTGCCATGTTGAAGGAGAGCCACATGCAGCATGAGGGCTAGCCACCAAAACCCGCACATGACCAGGATGTTACCATCAGATGGACCTGTGAAGTTTGAAGGACAGAGAGACATATCTCCCTAGAAAATCTCAAACCATATGTAGCAATACAATATGTCAAAATGCCTGGACCTAAACCATGCTATATAGGTTGCTGCTCCATTTGGTTCCCAGCAAGCAGGCTAGGGAAGAGGGGCATTGGTCAGCAGGTAGATTTATTATTATTATTATTATTATTATTATTATTATTATTATTATTATCCATATTTATATACCGCCTTTGTCAGCCCGAAGGTTTACAGTCAGCACAATTCGATGCCCCCAACAATATAAAATATAATTTAAAAAATTAGCATATAAAATACAGAACCGTCGTTGTTCATTTGTTCAGTCGTCTCCGACTCTTCGTGACCTCATGGACTAGCCCACGCCAGAGCTCCCTGTCGGCCGTCACCACCCCCAGCTCCTTCAAGGTCAGTTCAGTCACTTCAAGGATGCCATCCATCCATCTTGCCCTTGGTCGGCCCCTCTTCCTTTTACCTTCCACTTTCCCCAGCATAATTGTCTTCTCTAGGCTTTGCTGTCTCCTCATGATGTGGCCAAAGTACTTCAACTTTGTCTCTAGTATCCTTCCCTCCAATGAGCAGTCGGGCTTTATTTCCTGGAGGATGGACTGGTTGGATCTTCTCGCAGTCCAAGGCACTCTCAGAACTTTCCTCCAACACCACAGCTCAAAAGCATCGATCTTCCTTCGCTCAGCCTTCCCTAAGGTACAGCTCTCACATCCGTAGGTGACTACAGGGAATACCATGGCTTTGACTATGCGGATCTTTGTTGCCAGTGTGATGTCTTTACTCTTTACTATTTTATCGAGATTGGACATTTGCTCTCCTC